AAGAGGTCAGTCATGTCTGATGTTGAGGAGTTTGGATCCTGCTGGAAGCTCGGAGCAGAGCTGCAGGATGAACTTACTTTCCGGGTCGGGAGCTGTCGTTGTGCTTGTAGTAATCGGGCGCAAAGCCTTCATACATGCACCACAGCGCCCAGTCGAACGCGTGTGCCGCAGGGAGGTACTGGATGACCTTCAGGTCATCGAAGTTCACCCTGTCGAAGACGGGCGAAACCACCGTGGTCCGGTCGGCTTTGATCTGCGTCAGCAGCGGTTCGGCCCTGAGAGGCGGACGAAATAAGAAATAAAAAACATTTCTCCAGCAGATTCATCATAGTTCTGCTTTTAGAAAACTGAACTGCAGCAGGTCTTGCTGCGGCAGGCAGGTCTTGCTGCGGCCTAACCTGATGTGTCTGAATGTGCCAATGCTTACAGAAATGGGTGGAGTTTGAAAAGCAGAAGTCGTGTCGGATGAAAAAAATGTTCCAGCTCAATAAAATAATTGTTTTTGTGAGTTCAGACAATAACGTTATAAAAAAATATTTGCTTGCTCTGTGCCGGTGAAACAGAGGTGGAAACAGTCGGTGGGAGCCGCGCCCGCATTACAAGCAGCAGAACAGCTGCAGAACGGATCAGAGAAGCTGATCGGTATGTGATCCACAGTATCAGTACAAGCAGGCGTGTTTACTTTACCCCACAGATGCTAAATGAAACCGAGGTTTGGACTCTTTCCAGCACAAAATCCTCTCACCAGGTTCATGCAGAAGGAAACCCGCTGAACAGTTTCTGACGGATCAGTGGCAGGGGAGTCCAAGCTGTTCCTAATATGACTCCAGAAGTCATATTAGAAAACAGAGGCCAAAACATTTACTTTTTTAAAGGCTAAAAACAGTTGTATTGAAATAGTTTTACCTGCTTCATGCTAAAATAAACTTAGCATGAAATAGTTTACACAAATAAAATAATCACATTTTTGTAGGAAAGGAATGTGTACATCTTTCTAGATTTAACATTTCAGAAGAGCCAAAAAAGGCAGTTACTTCACTTATTTACTTTGGCCTCGATTGAAAACATTTAAAAAGATTTGATCTATTCTCTCAACAAAAACACAAGTTATTCTTTCTTTTTTAATACTTGCTGCCAAGTTTTAATAATGTAATTAAAAGCAGATTTGGGTGCACCAAGGTCTGCTTCATGAAATTGTGACGCATTTGTGAGAATTTGTGGGTCAGAACCTCCTGCTCCACTGGGACCAATCTGTGTCATTCAGGGTCCATAAATGGCCCCTGGGCCACTCTTTGGACACCCTGGGATACAAAACATTTGTTACGTTTTTGTTTTTTTTTTACAAAATCTTTGATAATCAGATTTCACCTCCTCAGTTCCCGTTTTCACCTCTGTTACTTTTATGCAAATAAGTTGCAGCTGGCCACGCCCCCTCTGCTAAACATTTACATTTCATTCACATAAAAACGGCTGCAGTCGCAATTACAACCAGGCGACATGGCTTAAAAATAACTCATCATTTTCACACCAGATCGGATTTCTAATTTTGATCTATGTTTTTCCTCATTTTCTTTTCTAAAATAGAAAAAAAAGTTATGTTTAAAAAGTGGCTTTCATCCTCCCTTCTGTGAATTGAACAGAGTATTACAGCTGCAATTTATTTTTATTGTTCAATTACAAGATTATAGTCCTAATGTTAGCAGAATGAACGCTGATGTTTAACATTAATGAGAAATATCCTGCTACTGATAATTCGATGCTGATGTGTTTAAAAATGATTTATTTATCCATATGCTCAACATTCATTTCATGTTGATATTTTACATACAGTGTCTCCCTTAAAATAACTTGTAATATCTCCTTTATTCAGGAAATGTTAAAACTTTTTTCTCATATGATTATACCAAAATTATAAAGTCAAAAATACCTGTGGGCCAAAAGATTAACACTTTTAAGAGCTAAACAACTGCCAGTTTTTTTCCTTACTCACCAATAAGTGAGCAATATTCTATTTTAGTCCATTTTTTAAGGAAATCAGTGTTCAGGCTACACCTGAAAATAAGTTTTGCCTCATTAAAAGGAAAGCAACCAGTCTGCATATTTTTCGGAGACTTAATTGGAAAAAATATGTTCAAAATATACTGATCAAAAAAATAAAGGGAACATTTCACTTTAATTTTGTGTGTGGCTCCAAATCCAGGCCTCCATTCGTTAATAAATTTGATTTCCAGTGATGATTTTTGTGTGATTTTGTTGTCAGCACATTCAACTTTGTACAGAACAAAGTATTCAATGAGAATATTTCATTCATTCAGATCTAGGATGTGTTATTTGAGTGTTCCCTTTATTTTTTTGAGCAGTGTATTTTACAAGAAGAGGATTTGGGTCTCTCACTGGAAATACTTGCTTTATTTGGGCTTACTAAAATAATTAAATGCAGATTTTGGTTCATTACAGTCTGATTTAGAGTAAAAGTCACTGAAAACTGGTTATTAAAAGAAGAACAGTTCCTACCCAACATGTCTTTCTAGGCTTCTGATTGGTTCATTCAGAACTACAGCCTGTCAGACTGCGCAGAGCAGCTGCAGAAAGTGTTTTCCTGTTGGGGTTCTGGTTCCTACCACAGCTCATGGACTTCGATGTGAGCGTCCAAGATGGCCACCACGTCGGCGGTGGCCGCCCTCCAGCCGGACGCTCTGGCGAACGCCAGGCCTTTCTGCTCCGTGTGCCTCACCCTGGTGATCCGCAGGCCCGGGTTCTCCTCCTCCAGTGACTTAACGTACGCATCAAGGTCGCCTTTCAGGTTTTCTGGAATGAAAGCAGAGCATTGTTGAGAAATCAGGGTGGACAGAAAAGTGCTTTGAAATGAAGGAACTGGAATGCAAACCAGATTCAACGCAAGTGACGCAAATGATGTTTGGATGTGAACAAACAGAGACATAAATCAACCACTTGTTTGTTAATACTTTTCATAACACTACAGTCAGGACAGGCATTCAAACCCAGTGGTTCCTCCTCACATATCCGTTTCTGGTCTCTCCAGAGTTTACTGACATGCAACAAGCATTCATTTCTCATTTCAACATGCACCAACTAACAGGCTGCATTTCATAAAACTCAGTAGAAAGGAGTTATTTTAGTTTTACAACTGTGAAAGTTGAGCAGGATATTTTATTTTTAAAGGAGCCGTATTGTGTAAAATCGACTTTTTTGATTTCCCCATCATGTTTTAATGTTTTTCTCTCATTGAAACAAACCTGGAGCCTTGCTTTGATTCTTTTCTACACCTGAGTGAACTTGGCTTCCCCACCGTTTTTGCTGCACTAACCAGCACAAACGTAACACAAACATTTGACACCAATTTTGTCTGATTTGAAGAAGGTGGGGACCAACTCAGGTCTTTTACATGTCTGAGAAATTCTTTAATCTCCATGGCAACTATTCAGCTGCAAAACACCTGGGTGGACCTAGCCCCGCCTTTGAGGCGCAGCTCCTCCCCAACTCGGCTTCTTCAGACTAGCCAGCAGCAATTAGCAAACACCTGGTGGAACTGCAGAGCTCCTTATAGGAGCTGCTGCTCAGAGCAACTCTGGCACAAACGTTAAAGGGTTAAAGAGGAGCCATGTTGGGATGACTTCCTGGAGGCGGAGCTTCAGAAAGAGCAGGAGGTTTTAAAGAGACACAGGCCCAATTTCAAGACATTAAATTATGAAGTCAAATTTCTTTTAAGTCACATTTGATATATAGAACTGAAGGTAACAATTCGATGGTGCTATAAAATGTCACTATGTGTCTGGAAAACACGTAATATTTCTCCTTTTATACAAATATCAATCAAATCAGGAACCTGGAACCAAACCCCAGCCTGGAACCAAGCCCGGCCTGGAACCGGCCTGGAACCAAACCCCAGCCTGGAACCAAGCCCCATCCTGGAACCAAGCCCCAGCTTGGAACCAAACCCCAGCCTGGAACCAAGCCCGGCCTGGAACCAAGCCCCATCCTGGAACCAAACCCAGCCTGGAACCAAACCCAGCCTGGAACCAAACCCAGCCTGGAACCAAACCCAGCCTGGAACCAAACCAACCCACCGTTGGAGCTGTTGTCGTCCACCATGATGATCTCCTTCAGCAGGTGTTTGGGCGTGCGGTCGATGATGCTGCGTAGCGCCCTCTTCAGGATGGACAAGGCCTCGTTCAGGTAGATCAGCACCACTCCCACCGTCGGCAGGTCCTTCTCATACGTCCTCTTCAAACACCTGTTCAGGTGGAGAATCGTTTTTAACAATCTGTTCCATGAAAGTTTGTTTTGATAAACTTGTAAAGTGAAATGTGAGCAAACTGGGTGAAGGGTTAAAGGTCAAATAATGGCTTTAACCATGATAAATTGGAAAAAAACAGAGTATTAGGGAAAGTTATGATACTTGCCCAAAAAAGATGCAAAATTACCACAAGCAAGTCGTAAAATTACAAGGAAAGAATTATAGAAAACTATAAAGATTTGATGTCTTTCTTGGAAATACTCATTTACAAATCCAGTTGCTGATAATAATTTGATGTTGATGTGTTTAAAAAATATATACATATTTTAAATTATTTCCTTCTTTCTAAAAACGATACCAAAGTAAAACTTGACATTCCTTATTTTATTTATTAGAAATTAAATTTTTATGAAACTTGCTCTTGTTTTTAGCAAAGTTTCATAAAACCTCTTAGCGCGTTCATTTAATTAGTTTAAATCAGAGGTTCCCAAACTGTGGGGCGCGCCCCCTAGGGGGGGCGCCGTGTCATTGCAGGGGGGCGCGGGAAGCCGTCTNGAGACCATCAGAAAATGGTCTTAAGACTGGTATCGAGACCAAGACCGTTCTCGAGTACTACAACACTGATAAGGATACATCCCGGATCAAATTGAGTCAGCAAGTTTATCCCTAACAAGAACTTTATATTTAAATTTCCAGAGATTTTCACTGTCATCCGTGGCTTAGAAACCCATAAGAAGGATATTCTGTTGCTCTGTCTCCTGACATGAGAGGCATTCCAACCACATAGCCCGGGTTTCCACTGTAATGGACTGTAGGCTCCCCGCCATCCGCCTTTATGCAAAGCACAGGAAAAAACAAAAGCACTTTGATTTAGTGTCAGGAAAACATGTGCAGTTCATTTTCAATTTATACAGAATTGAGTACAATTGTCACCAATTGTTTTCATTAGTCAACTCAACACCCACTTGGTAGGTTTTACACAAGCAGCAAAAACATAGAGTTTCATGACAGAATTAAAATAACTAACGAGTGATCCACCAATAAATCTGCCATGATTTCCTTCACTTTGGGAGATCTGCAATCAACCGACAAGTGCAACTGATCTTATCTCCCTCTGCAAAGGTCTGAAATTCAACTACTGTCTCCATTTGTTCTGATGTGAGACAGGACTGACTGACAGACCTGCCCACCAGGATGTCTGGACGTGTGCAGTTAACAACAGCCACCGCAGTAACTGTGTTTTTACCTTTTTGATGTTCTACTAATATCAAAAAAACACTATTTTGAAATTGCGGTGTTTCAATATGAAATGCAATTCAATTCCCACATGAAGACGTTTGTTCATGCATTATGTCATTAAAACTGATGGCAGTGATGGATGTAAACAGTTACATAAGATGTTTTAATATTTCAGCCATGACACTAGTGCTCATCCCCAGCCATCAGAGAAGTTGTCAGCATCTTATTGAGGTGTTGCAACAACAAGCCCCACATTATTGTAGCCGTTAGTTTTACAGAAGAGCTTTGGATTGAATAGTTTGGAAGGACAAACTCCAACTTTTGATGAACTGTGAGAGCTCTGGTGGAGGCAGCTGCGTCTTGTCCATGGTGGCCAGTGGCTACAAATAATTGTAGCTAATTGGCTTATTTGTAGCCACTGCAGGCTACAAATATACTCAAATATAGCTATGAGTCATGAATAACTCATAACTCATGTTATTCAATGAAAAACCTTTCATTGAATAATAGTTAATTTTTTAAATCACACTGTTTCCATGAACCAGATTATTTTATTTTTTATTTTATTTTGTAATTCCAATTTGTGTAATTGTATGGCCAGTAGAAACACAGCTATTGTTACCAACTTAGCAACTTTGTTGTTATATTTAGCAACTTTTCAGCAAAAAAATCAGTGATTGGCCAGAAAACTGCAATTGGTGCACCCCTACAACTATTGTGAAATAAAAGTCTCTGATGTTGTTCAATATGCGTATCAAATCATAACACTTGCCATGAAAGCAGGTGTTAGTGAGATACTGCTGTATCTATAGAGAAGTGATGCTATAATGTTCTGTAGCGTAAAAAGGTGAATTATTACCTGGAATATAACCTGAAACTCCTGCTGCAGTGAGTTGTGAGTCCTGCTGGTGTTGACAAAGCCAAGCACCAGAGACACGCTGGCATTTACTAGTTCACCACTTGACTTATACTTAATCACATATACAGCCTGAGGAGATAAAAAAAAACTGCAATTGGTCTCTGTGTTAAAAACATTCATGTGTTTTAATGAAAATATGTAGAACATGTTATTTTTAGAGGTTCAATAATGTATTCTTGTCTTTAACATTACAGCTTAAAAAAAACTCAACAATCAAGTGGTCTTTGGGTCTGCTGATATGATTTACAGGATTGTTAATATTGTCAGAATTTCAGCAAATTCATGGTTAGAGGAAGATTCTCTGTTAGACTTCTGAGTCTAGCAGAAGTCTAGAACATTTTGCTAGCAGAAGTCTAGCAAATGTTCTAGACTTCTGCTAACACATTTGCTAGCAGAAGCAAAGCAGAGGTTCAGTAAAACCTTACTACTCCAACAGG